AATGTTTATTAATCTTCCCACACTCAACCAGTTATCGAACCAGAACAATGTGGATCTACCATTACCAATCTCCGAGCGAAGAAATGTGGCTGCTTGGTCCCTAAGCTTCAGTAGCTTACGCCATATCCAAGAACCTCCGTGATTGTCGTTTACATCCCAGAAACTGTGAGAACGCAGTAGATAAGACCTTGTCCATGCTACCCATAGTGAACCCGAGTTCGTGAGGAATCTCCATATCAAGCTCAGTGCAAAAACCCAGGATGTATCTAGTAGACGTCGAATGCCTAAACCACCTTTTTCCTTGGGATGACACACATTCTCCCACGCAACCTTTTTTTTTGTGTGCGTGTTTGGCGAACCTGACCAGAGACACGCTGCACACATCCCTTCAATGATATGGAGACAACACTTTGGGAGCCTGAAAATGGAACACCAAAAATTTGTTATGCTACCAATGACAATTCTTATAAATTGCAATCGTCCCGCATACGAGAGAGAACGACTAGACCAAGATAAGAGGCGAGTGCGTATCTGATCTATTAGTGGCTCGTAGTCATTCTTTGTCATGGACTTCGTGGTAAGGGGGAGACCTAAGTACCTCACCGGCAGTGATTCAGTTGGTATGCCTAGGCGCTGTACCTCATCTTTTAATTCCTAGCTGATACGGCCCGCCATAAATTTTGTTGGGTCTATCCTCAGGCTGGAAATACTTGCAAACTCCGATAGCACCTCAAAGATGCCTTGAAGTGAAGCAGCTGCACCATCAGTAAAAATCATTAGGTCATCTGCAAAACTTAAATGAGTCAAGTTTACCTCGCTGCATGAAGGATGGAATCCTATACTCCCAGAGTGAGCCGCTTTATTAAGCATTTTTGATAACACATTTATTACAATGACAAAAAGATATTGGGAGAGGGCGCATCCTTGCCGCAGACCACGTTCACTCCCAAAGAACCCCTCCAATTCTCCATTTACAGAAACAGAGAAAGCAGCCGTAGAGAGACATGTATGGATCCATTGCACAAACATTTCTGGGATACCAAAAGCGTGAAGAGCATCAACGATGAACGACAAATTTACTGAATCAAAGGCCTTTGAGATGTCAAGCTTCAGAACACTCCTGGGACGAATCGAGTTTTTGTGATAATCTTTGATAAGTTTCGTTGCTAATAAGACATTCTCAAGAAGTAGGCATTCTTTCACAAAAGCGCATTGGTTTGGCTCAATCAGACCCGGCAGTAACACTTTGAGCCTATTAGCTAAGATCTTCGAAACCACTTTGTACAAGATGTTGCAGCAGCTTATCGTCCGATAGTCAGTGCTCTCTTTAGCATCATCATGTTTTGGGATCAGAGTGAGGATTGTCGCATTTACGCCCCGGGGCATAAGACCATACATGAAGAAAGACAGCACTGCAGTAATAAAATCATGTTATATAATTTGCCAAGATGCGCGATAAAATTCCACCGGGTAGCCATCAGGTCCGGGGGCCTTACTGGATGGCATTGAGAACAACACATTTCTTATTTCAGCCTCGGAAATAGGTTGAGTGAGTAGCTGAGCAGTGTGGTCTGGGCATCGGAAATCCAGGAGCTCAGAAAGCACAGGAGCATTTGTATAGGCAATCTGAACATGGCTTTGTTTGAGAAAGTTCTCAAAGTGCGCAGCCGCCGTCGCCTTAATCTTTAGAGGGTCCGCAATCGTTTCACCTGAGGCCAGGACGAGACGCCTTATTATGTTAAAAGAAGCTCTATTCTAAACGATTTTAAAGAAAAATAGAGTGTTCTGGTCCCCATTTTGTAGCCAAGTGATACGAGACTTCTGACGCATAAAACTTTCCTCTATTGCAGACCAATGGTTCCACGTATTCATAGCATCTTCTGCATCTACAAAAGCGCTTTCACAGGGGTTCAGGAGAGCTTCTTTCTGCTTATCACATAGCGCAGAAAAGGCTTCACGTGCTCGCTGTGGCATATTGCCGAATTTGGTCTTGTTCAGTCGCCGCAAGATTAGTTTCAACAATTTTAACTTCTTGTGAAACCTATAGAGGGAAGAAGTGGAGTGGAAAAGAGGCTCAGTAGACTCCCAAACCGTAGCCACAGAGTCCAGAAAGTTAGGGTGATCAGCAAGAAAGTTGAAGAACTTGAAGGGACGCTTGTTTCCCGGAGGAGGAGTCTCTAGTCAAACCCAAAATCAAGTATGATCAGAGACACCTGATGGCTCAAAACTTGCATAAGACTGAGGGAAATTATCCAGCCAGGTATCATTGACAAGCACACGGTCCAGCTTCTTAGTGATAGGATTATCATGTTGCTTATTCGTCCACGTAAAAGTAGGACCAAGAGAGGGGAGGTCAGTAAGGTTGCACATCATGACTGCAGACTGAAACGCGTGCATTGACCGATGGCTCACGTTTGATATGGTACCCCTGGAGTGTTCAGATGATGCCAAAGTCTCGTTGAAGTCACCCATTACAATCCATGGTGTGCATGTTGTAACATACTGAGCTCTAATATAATTCAGTTCACTCCAGAGACGTTGTCTCTCCATAACAAAGTTAGAGGCGTAGACACAGGTGCAGAGAAACTGCTCTCCTGTAGCTGAGGTGACCCAAACTGTGATGGACTGAGTAGTCTTGGATATAAGCGAAACAGAGACATTTGTCTGCCCAGTAGACCCAAATTTTGCCAAGGCGATGTTGATCATAGTTTGTAAGAAAGTTCCAATTAGGTAAAGCAGAGTTTAGGATGGAAACATTGTTGCCTTCTTGATCATGGGTTTCAACTAAACAACCAAATGAAGGTTTTGCAGACTGAATCCAAGAACGAAGAGTCGTATGTTTGCGCATTTTGTTGAAGCCCCGAGTATTCCACGCAAAAAGCAAAATCATCATTCTAGTGCCTCCGTGAGGAGGCTTGACTTACTTGTTTGTTCTTTGCACTTTTATGTTGATCTTTTTCATCCCCATATTTAAATTGGGATTGCTTTTCTAGTTCTTTTTATATCTCCCCTGCCTCTGTTTTTCCTCTTGTTTTTTCTTCTCGATTGCAGCCTTAGATTCCACAGAGCTCTCCTCCTCAGAGCTATCACTTTCCACTTCTCCTTCAGTTTGTTGCTTAGTATGTGTAATCTAGATGGCGAGCTAGTAGCAGGAACATCAACCTCTGTGTGGTGACCAGACTTCTCATTTCCACAACGACTCTTTGGTGACTTGTCTTGAGGAATTGTATTCCAATCCTCTGTTTCCTCATCATCAACTGCATCGACCTTTTGATCAGTCCATGTAACCAAGTTTTCCTCTACCTCAGCTTTTGTTGATGATTGTTGTATACTGGCCTCATCAGTTGCTAAGTTTGCCGCTTCAAATAGCGGTTTCTCGAGATCCCTTTGAACTCTCATTTACAGTGTCCTTCAAATGCTCAATGACAAGATCATCTTTCTCCTATTTGTCTCCCTGATCCCCATATGATGTCTCACAATTTTTGTCCTTATGACCAGTTCTTTCTTGCTCTTTATTCTTCAGAGGCGGTTTTTGGGCTCCATTCACGTACTACAATTGGGACTTCAGCGATATGCCAAAAGTTCCTCTTCAGAACCCTGGATTTTAGATACGAATTATCAACACAGAACAGGATAGTCTTAGGACTGATGAACTGGACGTCGATCTTGACAGGTTTATCTAGAAAGGACCAAATCCTATTGAGAATCGCATTAACCTTACCAATATGGGGTGCATCTCCCATGAAATGTCCCACTATGTAAGCCGACCATAATGGTTCAGATTTGGACAGAAAATCCTCAGGCAAAACAACAGAAGCAACTCCCCCTTGTAAATCTACCACAGGAGAGTAACGTGTAACGTTCAAAAACTGGTCTTCAAGATCTTTCGAGCCTGAAGCGGCGACTTGTGAGTAGGACTTCAATGGTGATACATGGAGATTTGGATCCCCTGGCGGTTGTGGAGATCCCATGCCTCCGGTGACCGGAGCCGTAGGACGTATGAAATCGCGAAATCGCACGGACGGCTTGGGTATAAAGTTTGATCGATCTTTACAGTTTAGATTTGATGTTTTGTTATTGGAGAATAACATACTAGACAAACCTCAATATAAGATTGTTTTTAGAGACTATTTAAATAGAACAAACCAATTTTAGTTATTTAATTTTAATATGTTTCCTCAAACATCTTTACATTTTCTCTATCCAAATTGAAAATACAAAGTGTTACATATCAAAAAGTGACATGAATATCTCTCTTTCTAGTTTTGGTTCCATTCTGTCTTTGTTACTTTAAAGCAGAGAAAAGGATGGATAAAAAATTCCAAATTGGGACAAAGACTAAACAAAAAGCAGCTCAATGTGAAAATTATAGGACTCTGATGAACTTCTCTAAGATAGTCATTCCACAATATTCTCTTGTCTTTAAATGTAGATATATTTATGTCAAGTCCTGAAGCTAGAAACAATTCATACAACAATACAATTGCATTAGTAACACATCACGTTGTTTCAATCATCAAGAGCAAATGATGTCCTAGTTCTTTTCTTCTGTGTTGGTCATGTATCCAAAACCTCACATTTCTCTTCTTGAGATCTTAAACCCATTATATTGTTTCACCAACTGTTCTCCACTTCTCTCTTATGCTTCCTACTCCATTAAAAACGTGAATATAATAGAAGTTTATTCTCTCTTCTAGTGAAGATCAGACAAAGATGCATATTCAATTACACATCTTAATATCTTTTTCTTTTAAACTTTTCCTGTTGATTAGTTAATATCCATTGTTGTTTTGTTGATTGAAAGGTGCTTGGAACTTGTAGTACTGAAGGAAAAACAAATTGAAAGTAAACAATCTTCTTAAAAAATTCTTAAAAACGCTTCACTAAATACATTAACCAAGATACCTTAAAAGGAAGACTCAAAGATCACTTTTTATTGCTTGAGAAGCCTATTACCTTAGTTATTAATGTAGATTTTGTATAGCACTTGTGAGTAGATTTCAAGACTCCTTGAGATGCCAAAAAGAACCGTGTATTATCTATTTGACACGCACACACACACACACACACACACACACACACACACACACACACACACACACACACACACACACAAATGTCATTATATTCAGTTAAAAGAACGTCCAAGCCTAGTCACACTTAAATAAGATGGGTACAAAACCTACCTTGCTTTGGTTAGACCATAATAGTTCAGCAACAACGTTAGGCCAAGGGTTTTTGAACTATGAAAGCGGTTTCACGATTCATAAACCCATAGAGAATGTGAGAAAGGTGGAACCAGATGAAGTGGTAATGGAGATATAGTGCCTTTCCTAGCTCGGTTAGAATAGGAGGTACAACTTCATAAAGTCAGGGACAGTTGCTACAAATTCAAGAGTATGATGGAAGATGAGAATAATAAGAGAAGTTACCAGCTGAATAAGAGATTCATCAGGTAGATGCTTCAAGGCGAACTCTGGATCCGTCTTACGCAAAACACCATTGCCATATCCTGGGCCAACCTGCAAGACAAACATTCATGTAAGCCTTCATATGGTATGAATTCACAGGCTCAGCTATTAACTATTTTTTTCATTAAGGTCTCATGTTAGCTATAGTTTCAAAAGGCAAATCATAGCAGTTTATACTTATATTAGTTTGCCACTGTTTAATATTTTGCAGACACTATTTTAGCTGTTCCTTTGATATATTTTCACCACATTCTTCCACAACTGATTTGATCCAAAGCAAAACTTCCTGCAACATAACCATATCCAAAAAAGAGAAACCGTTGAAAATCATTTCTTCGTTGTTATCAAAACTTTCAATTGTATAATCATAATATCAGAAGTTTACCAGCTCCTAGTATTCATTAGGTAAAGATCAGCTATATATACTTGTAGATTTGAGCAATGCTTAGGAGATAGATAATATATGGGTACCTAATTAGGCAAACCGTGAAGTGGCCCAGTTAACCATTTAATGCAACTGCAGATGAAAGGTATGGATAGTAAAAGGAGTTGGCTCATTAGAAGACAAAAACTGCAACATAGTTTTTACGACCATCACAATATCTTTAAAAACTAATATGTAATTAACTGATTTCCAGAACCTTTTGCATAAATCAAAACCAAAAAGAAAAAGAACTTTAAAACTAAACTTTGTAGAGTTTATGCTTTCTATTCTTGAGAATGTGCAGCTGGCAGTACTTAGTGAGAGCGTTGGAGTTGGCTTCGCATCCATACATACATACAGCTTCCGAAGCAGCCGTTTGCATGCCTAGCAACCTTAACGCCATTACCACGTCACTGTTAGTACTGTTGACGTTAGCCATTTTGATCACTGGATTTTTTACAAACCTTATGATTGAGAGGAATGAATTCGAAGACCATTAGTTCAAATTTAAATATAATCTATAAGATTCTTTGAAGAAACAATGCAAGAGTACATAAAATGCGACAAGTATCATTTATATAATAAAATTATGTTATCTCTCCTTTCTTCTTTTCATCACCACCAACGCACACGCTGGTAGATAGTGAAGTCATCCCAGGCATATCATCTCCAGGACCATCGTTTCCCTCTTGCTTCTTAATAGAAAATATATAAGAACCAATCAAAGATGAATAAATAATATTTAAAACAACACAACGACTTATAAGAAGTTAAGAAGCAGAAAAATGAGAGAACAGTGGCGGGGATAGTATATGTCGACAGTTTCTGCAACAAAAAAAAATTCAAAACGATAGAGAATGCTATCATCAATGAGTAATGATGCTTTATCTAAACCGGGAAAGGTGAATCGCTAAAGAGAAATGATTCAGAGATTAATCAACGGCGGTTTCAAGGACAAAACCTAATTTCACAGCAAGGAAAGAGATGAACGACAAATCTACGCCTGAACAGGTCTTGTCTAAATAAAGTTTGGGCCAAAAAATAATAAAGCCCATATGACACGTGGCAGTGCACAGGGGACCCATTATCTGACGTGGAAGAACATGAGGAGTAAAAATCTCCTTTATATAAATAGATGAGTTGTAATCAAAGAAAGTTCTAAACCAACTTTTATCTGAAACACTCTTTTCAACCTCCCTCATGTATGCTTAATTCATGTGTATTCTAAAAATTGTTCACCAATTACAAAAAGAAAAATGAAAAGGTCATTCCATTTCATTCCTTAACATATCATATCATCCCAGAAAAAAGTAATTTTCATTTGAAAAATCATTCAAAATCAAAAACGTTTTAGAACAAGTGGAATGTTGATTCCATTACATTAAATTCCAGAAATTATGATTCCTATCATTCCATATATTTCTATTATTTGTCACCAGTTACACTCTAAATATATAGAAAATTTATTTTATACATAGTTGTGATTTTGCCTATATTCATATTTCAATTTTTATTCCAAAGAAGTTAAGGAATAGAGTTGAGTTCATGGTAGGGAGGGTTTAAACTCCACACAGAATTCTAATTTTTTAGTAAACATAATAGTTTCCGGTTTAGCGATTTGATTGAAATTTGTCTCTAGATTTCTTTTTTTCTTAATATATCTATTTTCTTGCCCAACTAATTATATGAAATGAGTTGTAACCAAAGAAAGTTCTAGAAAAACTTTTATCAGAAAACACTCTTTTCAACCCCCCCCCCCCCCCCCC